TTTTTTTTCTTTTTTTCATGGACTTTTCTGCCTGGGCTGGCTTTGATCTACATCCTCAGATTGAGATCTCAGTAGCTAGGATTACAGATATAAATCACTTTAAAAATAAATAAAAACCACTATCTCTCTGTTATTGATACAGAATTGAACTATATTAACTATATTCCTTGCATCATTTCTCAGAGCTCCTTTTCCCAGTCATTTGCTTCTTTTTTCTTCTCCTTTTTCAAGAAAATGTTGAGAGAAACAGTGGCTGAGAGAGAAGATAGGGTAGGCTGGATTAAGGATAGCCTTCCCCAATCTTTACAGGCAGATAACTCCAAACAGCCAAGTATTAAGTCATTCTTTAAATAAAAATCTCTCTTCAGGGAGGTAATGGTACTCATTTGGAACTCAGTCTCACACTTGCTAGGCAAACACCCTCCCTGCTGGACCATACCTTGTTCTGTTCCAGTTCTGTCTCTCCTCTCCCCCCATCACCTGTTCCCTGCTGCTCTCTGTCCTTTTTCTTCCCTTCTCTTTTCTCCCTTTTCCTTCTTTCCTGTCCCTCCTTCTTCCCTCTCCAGTCAAACTCCTGGATGTGATCCAATTTTAGGCTTCTGGGATAATAAGTACACACTACTGTGTCCAGTTCTCAGTTGAGAACTTTTCTACCCACGCTGGCCTTCATTAACAAACCTCTGTCTCAGCCTCTCAAGTACCTAGGATTACAGATAGTAGCCACCAGTTTCTGATTAATAAATGAATCTTTTAAAGACTAGGCACAAGCTGGGCGCCAGTGGCTCATGCCTGTAATCCTAACTGTTACTCAGGAGGCTGAGATCTGAGGACCCTGGTTCAAAGCCAGCCCGGGCAGGAAAGTCTGGTAAGACTTTTAATCTCCACTAAACAACCAGAAAACCAGAAGTGGTGCTGTGGCTGAAGTGGTAGAGTGATTTCCTTGAGCTGAAGAACTCAGGACAGTGCCCAGGCCCACAGTTCAACCCCACAACTGACCCCCCCCCCCAAAAAAAAAAGACTAGGCACTGAAGGAAGGTCTGGGAGACTGAGGTACTAAGCAGGTTGGTAAAGACACTTTTATAGCTGTTAGGAGACGGACTCTCAAATTGAGTTCAGAGTGAGGCAAACTGCAGTGATGATGCAGATAAAATGCAGTAGAGTTCAGACGAAAGGTATTTTAGGGAGAAAGAAGGAGGCATCTGAGTTGAGGAACAAGTGCACAAAGGTTCCAGGCTGTGTTCAGGAAATGCTTTGACAGCAGTGTACTAAGAGAGGTAGGAGGAAAAGCTGGAAAAGTGAGTTAGAGTCAGAGTTCTGAGAGGTGGGCTGACAAACTTTAATTTTGTAAGGCCTAGCTGTTGTGCAGAAAGGGTCTGATGCAATGAGTTGAGAGGCCTGAAATGTGTTAAGAGTCTGGTAGGGGTCTGGGTAGGTTAGTTGAGTGGAAATGGAGAGGAAGAGCTGTTGTGGGTATAGAGTACATGAGACAAAGTGAAGAATAACAAGGTCTGAGATTCTGAGCCTGAAATGATTGCAGAGCCATTAATAAAAGATCCTGAAAACTCAAGAGAGGAACAGACCTAAGACAGAAAGATTACATTTGGGGCCATCCATCTAGCTGTGAGATCTGCTTCCCTAGCCCCTAAGCACAGTGCTAGCCTGAGAGCGAGCTATTGAGTGAGCAGTCTTATGATGGAGCATTGCATGTTGAGAGACTAAATACAGCAGAGAGGTTTATAGGATTGAACTTGAGAAGAGTCTTTGAGAGTGGAAAAAGAAACAATATAACCAGAGTTCCTGAGGGGTCTGTGTTTATGTTGAAGGGACAAGAGTGGCCCTATAGGATA